CGGGAATCTTCCTGGGGGGTAAAGGGCGGCCGGCGCGTAAGGCTGACAAACTCACCGTCCATCTGAGACGGTTGTCTATAAAATGTGGGAGCCACGACATCTCACAATCCTATGGGCCTTCACGGCCTCTTACAAGGATCGTTTCACGTTTTTCTAAGAGGAAGAAGTGACAGGAGCCTGAAGAAAACTGCGTAATGAGCTATAACTAACACTCTTCACAAATTATTGTTAGGGTGATGAAGGGCGGGGCATTTAGAGCGAACTGCGTGCATGGTTATGGCAGAGGAACTAACTGAAAAATACGCCTAGCAGAGTGAGGCCATTACAGAACGGAAATATGATTTTCGGCCCATTTTCAGTATTTAAGAAAATAAAAGGAGGCTTATGATATCACCTTACTGTTTGTCTGTCTGTCTGTGTCTGTATCCGCTCCTTTTTTTTATACGGTCCTTGTCGTATCAAAAGAAAGTAAGGGAGTAGTTCTTTCCAGAACTTCTGGTCAATGTACTATTGGGCTTTGGTATATTTCCTTCCTTTTTCAGGTTTTACTTTTTTTTTAATACCCAGGGAATGGGAAGGTTCCTGATCCCCTTCTGCCGGTGCCCATAGATCCCATAAACGTGATAGGTACGAAAAGGTGAATGGAAACAACCTGTGGACGTAATCAGCTGACCGACACAGCAGCAGAACTGCAAGCGTGCGCGCGCACCCACACACGAATACACCAACCTGCCCTCTTTTCTTTCCATTAAACGAAGCTTACGAGCACGTATCTCGGATTAATGTTCTGCCAAGGCGTCTGGAGATCTGGCACGACCTGACGAGATAACACGGACTGGTAGCAACAGAACAGCTTGCTTCTCTGGAAACTGGACCCAAACTTATTATCTAATTGCAAGATTTTCTGGTTAATCTCACAACGGAAACCGGCTCGGCGAAAAGGGGGCAGATATTTCAGGGGGGAAAAGAGACTTGAAATTAAAATATATATATATATATATATATATATATATATATATTACAAAGATTATAAATTACTTTTAATGTATTCGTCTACCCTGAATACTCTAGGGAGATCAGTAATAATATTCTCAAACAGCTCAAACGTACGTTCTTATACAAATTGTCCTGTTGCCCTCCCTTGCTCAAAGGAATCTTGGATTTCCCCACGGTCCTTAGCCATCCGCTTTTTTTCATTGCTAGTGGGGTGGGACTAAAGGTTCTGCCACACAGAGCGCTACGTACGCGACGCACGCTACGTACGCTATGTTCGTTATACGAACAGAAAATATCTCCCTTTATTGCCAATGTGACTGGCCACACAGACTTCCGTACGCTACGTACGCTGTGTTCCCTATGTTAGCTGCGTCGCAGAGTGTACACAGCGTATGCAGCGTACGTAGCGAACATAGCGTAGCGCTCTGTGTGGCCGAACCTTTAGTCCCTTGTACTGTGGCCACTCGGAGAAAACCTGCCCCAGTGCCACTTTGTCCACCACATCCCACTTGACCAGACCCGGGATCGAACCCGGGCCGCCGCGGTGGGAAGCCAGCGACTAACCGCTTGAGTTATGGCACGGCTCTTACCCATCCGATTTCTCTTACTTTCCTTCTTTTAAGAGAAAGCGGGGTTAGCTTCGTATATTTTATAATTTCCTACTAACGGGTAAAGCTATACCTGTAACAGGCCACGGAGGACCACTGGGTTGTGAGACGTGGAGGATCCCTCGTGTTAGACAATCGGCTACAGATGGCGGTTAGGTTATCAGACTTAAGCGTCGGCCGTCCTTTACCCCCACGAAGTTTCCTGGTACTCATTTCTGTTAGAGACTGAGTCGACCCCCAGGGCCATAGTGCGCCTGGAAGGATTAGGCCAATCGAAGAATGCAGTAACCTGTTATCAGTAATAACAACATGGCATACGGACAAACTTGTGAGGCGGAAGGCCACTGCATTCGACTGGTTGCTATGGTTACCATTTGTTGTTACTATGATTAAAGTGTTTAGTAATGGCCTCTATTGGTACTGGCTTTCGGAATGAATACGGATATTATGCTTAACAGCAGCAACCATCGACAGGACTGCACTGTGAAGAAACCCAGAAAACCATATTCTATAAAGAGAAGACTATCTTTCGGGAAGCGCCATCTCACAAACAGGCAGAACATCGCCGACATTTCCAGAGTCGTAGTTAGTTTTTTCTTGATTTCTTGGGACGGAGTGAGACTGTGTCCACTTGGTACATCGGCCACTAACTGGTCTATTCGCAGGGCCATTCCGGGAATTAAATTGTCGCACCTTGTCTTGTACCAGTCCCAGAAGATAGATGATGAATATGGCGCAGTCGGTGGAATGGGAATTGTGGCAGGAGAAACCGAAGTACTCGGAGAAAACCTGCCCCAATACTACTTCATCCATTACAGAGCCCACATGACCCGACCTGGGCTCGAACCCGGACCGCCGAGGTGGGAAACCGACGAGTAACCGCCTGAACTATGACACGGCCAGGGTCGAAGATTAAGTCGAGCGAGAAAGCACACTGACTCTGAAGATGGATGCCAGTACCTCCTCCGAAATGTTTTAACTTTTTCTGGGATACACGGCGCCACATGCTGACGTCATGACTCAGACAGGTATGCGGTGGTTTTCATAATCTCATTCGTTTCAACTGTGCTCCTTTTTTTGGGTCATGTCGCAAACATCGTGTCCTGACTGTTACATGTCTTGAGGCATGCCGGTGTGCGGCCTACCTAAAAGTTCCGGGAATCGAAAATTCCTACATTTTCTACTAAAAAAACTGCTAGATTTGGCAACATATGACATATGCTGGCATTTTATCGGACCTACACATAATCCTGTAACTTTCTAAGAAACGGTCTGCATATCTGAAGTTCTTAGTGGCCTTTGACATACAAACGTGAACCAAGGTCAACTCTAACAACTAAAAATGGTGGCTTGCCACTGTACGAATTAAAGTTGACAATTCTGGGGTTAAAAAGAGAACATTTCTGAATCATTTTAACTGGGGGAAAAATAGATCCAACTTAGACTCGACGCACGAAATGAGTGCGGCTTCTGTACGACATCGCATGAGCGAGCAGAGGGTCATAAAGTTCTGCGTCTCGAGAATATTAACCAACATGCAACATGAGAACTACACATGAACACGCAATACGTTCTAATGAGTGCTGAACAAAGGTTGGTAAATGCAATGCGCAGGCGCAGAATTCTTCTTCACCACCCGCACAGATTTCGCGTTTCGACTCTACAGCAGAGTCTGCTTGTCTCCTGGGGGCACCGCTCTCGAGCTAAGAACCACGCACGCGCAGGTAAGTGTGGAGTCTTGCTGTCCAGGTCAGTCGCAGCCCCATACAAAAACTTTCGTCAAAACAAAAACATTCTGGAGAGTCACAGGCCACAAACCAACAAAAGCGTAAGTAACATCATAAATACAGAAAATGAATATACACACGTACCTAAAAATAAAGCTCTAACATAATACATCACATTACAGACAAGGCAAACACGTGCATAAAAACTGTTCAAGGACACACAAATAAAACAGCTGGTTAACCCACATAACCTAGACTCCGAGGCAATTACATAAGAAAAGCAGCACAGCATTACAAGCATTACACAATCACCTGTACACCTGAAGATTGCCGGTTAGGCCGAAACACGTAGTGACAATAAAGAGAAAACCACGACAGAATTAACCGACGATGCACATAGACGGCAAAAGTGCGGAACTGAAAAGTCAAACCCACCACTCGTCCTTATCCTGATATTCATGCATCCCAGCCCACACTTTCCACACTATACCTCTTTAGGAACTAGTTTAATATTATCCTTCTACCAACACGGTCTCTTTCCTACAAGTTTTCAGACCAAAATTGTAACATTTTCTTTTCTATTTCTCTGACACGTGCTACATTCCCAACCCTTCTCATCCTACTCGATTTGATCAATCTACTAATATTTGGTAAATAAGAACAAATTATGAAGTCCTCACATGCCACAATCTGCTGTTACTACCTCTCTCTTAAGTCGAAACATTTTCTTCAAGGTCTGCTCTCAAACACACTTCATACACATATTTCCTTCAGTGTTAAAAATAGTGACCACCGGGCTTTAAAAGGTTAAATAATAGTAACCTGTCGAATTTCCGTCTCCTGTTCGCACACGTGACCCTTCAATTGATGCACAATTTACAGCTGTCGAGTTACATTTACCATTTCAATGAATATGCTCTGTATAAACTTCAAAATGTGTGAAATAAAACAGCCTGATAGCCACATGCACCATGAAGATTCGTCTCGAGGGTGGCAGTCGCCAAAATACTTGCTTAAGAACTACGTTCAAACGATAACGACTACTTTTACTAATCGCCATGACTTCTTTGCAATAAATCGCCTTTATTGTTGGTATTAACATTAGGTGCAGTGTCTTCTTTTGTCTAAACTTTGTTTTATCCGAAAACCCCGGGAGCTCGATGTCCTTCTGAAGCCCAAACCCACAGTAATATAATTCATATAAATATTAACAATAATAATAATCTTGCCTTACCAACTTTTTAAGCAACTGTCGGCACTGAAACACTACAATTTATTGCTGCCACCTTCAGGTCCTTTCATAACTAAATTACTTTTTCTTTCGGTTTCCACAGTAAAACCATAATGACAAAATCACACGCTGTGTATATGGGTCGTGCCACTGCTCAGGCGGCTAGTCTCCGGCTTCCCACTTCGGCGGCCCAGGTTCGAGCCTGAGGCAGGTCATGTGGGCTCTGTAGTCGACAAAGTGGCGCTGCGGCAGGTTTCCGCCTAGTACTTCGGTTTCCCCTGCCAATTCTCATTCCACCGATTGCTCCACACTCATATCACCATCTACCATCCGGGGCTGGTAAAATGGGCCAGTTAGTGGCCGACGTACTAAGTGAACTCAGGCTCACCCCCCTCCCCAAAATAACTAAGCTACTTATATAAAAATTACAGTACTCACCTTGCAAAGAACGCCGCTGCAGCAGACGACTGAGCCAGAGTACCCGGAACTCCGCTGACAGAATAGGCGTACTTTGATTCAGAGTAGTAATTACTCTCCGGAGTTGCAGACGTAACACTGGGACCAAGAAGTAAGGTCGGTGAAGAAGTTCCAGTAGAATGGCTATCAAGACCACCACCGTACAGAAAGTCAACAACAGAATGTCCGCTGTAATGTGATCGTGCAGACGGCGCCGGCTGGTGTCTCACATAACCACTTTGTTCTGAACTCGAATTCACTATCCCATTCGGTAAATGGGGCTTCTGAAACTGAAACGACTTTAACGTAACCGAATTTGTTGAACCTTTCGATATCTTAGTTGGCGGTAACGCAGATGGTGTCCCGCCATTAGCAGTAATCGTCGCATTACCAACTAAACTTTTAGCTGTTAACTTTTGTTGCGGCTTATACGCAGTTGTCAGCACTGTTGAATATTGTTTTCCGTTATATATCACTGCCGTCTGATGTGAAATCCTCGACGAATCCATTACTGCCCCATTTGATGCCACGTGATTCTTCAAGTGTTTATTATAACCATGTTTGTCAATCGGTAACTCGTCACTTCCGTTCATCTCCGTCGTATCAATGTTACTTGCAGTGCTTGTCACTGCACCGTGACGATTCTGATGATGTCTTATCAGTACGCTGCTACCATCTGTGGCGCTCGTGTTTGTGTTTATGTCGTCACAACCACTCCGTACGCCTGACCGCGAACCACTAGCTCGGCCATATCCACTTGCTTGAGCCTCGCGAGAGAGACAGGCATGCTGATGCCCTTTACTATGAGACGACGACAGTAGCGCTGTAGTAGTAGTGGTGGGAGATCGATGCAACTCCTCATATTTCCCTACCGCGTCTGCTTCTTCTGTTTCGCGTTTGCAAAGGTAACTTACTGCGGTGTTATTGGCTGCACTGTTCATTAACGCAGCAGGCAGTGATGCATGGGATGTGTGTGTTGGATGTTCATGCGAAGATCGGTGACTCTTTGGGTGTTGATTTTTGTTGTGATGATTACTGGGAAGCAGTTTGTGGTGGTGATGATATTGGCTGTGTGAGGTCCGTGGCTTGTAGACGTAGTCCGCTGATGTTATCGCTTCAAGGTCGAGCTGAAAAATAAAATTACTGTTATTTTCGACGTACTTCTATACATCGAAGTTAATAGGAACGGGGCGCAAATGGTTTTGCGTTGCTCCAAATCATTAGAAAAACTCGGGGTAGTAACCAACATGTGTTAAAAACAAATTATTAAAATGCAAGTTCGAACATGTATCGTTGTTGGGAACGATACCTATGACGTCTTAAGGCACTGGAAATTGGTTTCTCAAAATGCGACGCTCGGTAACTACGGCGTCATTCCCTGCCATAGGAGTGAGACTGGCGCCATCAAGTAGAACGAATGTTGGCTATTACTCGTTGTTCTATGTGACGGCCTGACTATAGCGCTTATGAAGTGCAAAGGTTAGACATGAGGCTTATGCAAAGTAGCTGTTACATGAACAAAAGAGACTGAAATTAAATTTAATCAGAACTGTGTAACGTAGACTGAAAACACGAAGATCCATCTAAATTTCCTGTAATGAAACATGTGAGCCGAAAGAAAGACACCAACTTCTCCACTATACAAACATTTCATGACGAAGCACACCATAAAAACCTGTACACAGTATTAATCAAGGGTAAACGTAGTCGTCAGGATACGGAATGGCGCAGTCGTTATAGCGACTGGCTACGGGATGGACTACCGAGGGGTCGGAGTTCTAGGCTCGTTAGGGTCATGAAGTTTCTCAACGTCGTCCAGACCGGCTCTGTGGGCCACCCAACCTCCTATTCAATGGGTACCGGGCGCTCTTTCCCCGGGAGCGTGAAGCTGACTACTCACTTCTAACTAGAAGAAAATGTGGATCTATACATCCACTCCCCCATACACCTTCATGGCGTAGTGCTTAACTAATTATTCACTACGCCATGAAGACATGGGACAGTGAGCCAGATCTACGTACTCTTAACCTGGACACCATTTGGTGAGTGGTCAGCGCCCGGTACCCATTGGATAGGAGGCTGGGTGGACCCCAGGGTCGGTCTGGAGAAAATTCTTGGGCGTACCGGGCTCGAAGTCCGACCCCTCCGTCGTCCATCCCGTAGCCAGCCGCTATACCGACTGAGCTCTTTCGTTGAAGATCATTTGGAATATCTTTCTCCCATTTACGATCAGATCTTTCAACTATTCTCTTCCCTTCAGGTATTTCAATTAAAATGGTGTTTCTTTTTCAGTTTCTCCATCCATAATCTTCAGTTCCACGCAAGATTCAAAGATATAACGTAAAAACAGAATCCTTTCAACTGGAATTAAGCGATCTCAGGTCAATTCTTCAAGATTAGTTAATGGAAACTTAAATGCTTTTAGGAAAATACAGAAAGTGGTAGCAATCCATTTCGTAGAAACTCCTGTGACATTTCACCACAATTCGAAGTGACCATTGGATTTTCCCTCTGAGTGGACTGATCTCCCACAATTCTCGAGTGATGGATGTCTAGACACTAATGGCTCTCCACTGAGCTCCAAGCTTATGGATAGGCTGCCAGGCACAAAGGAATCCACCCGCAACTGTAGCAGGAGCCAGGATGTAGCCTCTGGAAAAAGGAAGTCTGGCCAACAATCCATACGCAGTCCCAAAACTGCCGATAAGAAAGAGAGATTACGTACTGTTTCTAATACCGGTATTTACTGTTCAAGTGACAAAGTTGGTACAGTTTACCTAGTGTAATACATTTTCGAAAATTCCACCGTCAACATCAATGCACTTTGCAACTCGTGTGAGGACATTGCATGTTGCTCGTCTGTACAGTGTGCAGTGAACTGTATATTGAAATAGCTCTGTCTCGGTGCAACTCGTGTGAGGACATGGCGTGCTGCTCGTCTGTACAGTGTACAGTGCACTGCACAGTGAAATAGCTCTATCTCGGTGCAACTCGTGTGAGGACATGGCGTGCTGCTCGTCTGTACAGTGTACAGTGTACTGTACAGTGAAATAGCTCTATCTCGGTGCAACTCGTGTGAGGACATGGCGTGCTGCTCGTCTGTACAGTGTACAGTGCACTGCACAGTGAAATAGCTCTATCTCGGAAACCGTTCGGAATAGGACACGCGTACACATACACATTTTTGCTTAGATTGGCCGATACTATGACCTCCCAGAATATTGACCTTTCCTCCTGGGGCACCCTTTATATAATCCGGATCCTGTCAGCAGCATGAAATAAAACACTAAAAGAGAGGAAGACTGAGGCATTTAAGTTTCAGAAGCTATGAAAGCTTCATCATAAACAAACCAAAAGAAATCTCAATGGCTAACAAACACAAACGATCTTTAGATGCACACAAACTTAGCTGGAATGCTGGATCCTCCATTCATTCTCTGAGAATGCCAACAAAATGGCATTTCTACCTTCTGCCATCTTCCTACATGAATCCGAGTACAGTAAAGAAGCTCTAAATGTAGAGGTGGCCACTTTAAGCTTCAGTAACTACGGGAGGTAACGAGTTACGGGTCACAAAATGTTATTTACAGCGATGCCGCTGTAAACTTCAGTTTTCTAGGGACAAACATGGCATTACACACACACAGGAGATTGAATTTGGGTAATGCTTGCTACCATTCAGTCCAGAACCTTTTGTCTTCTCGTCTGTTGTCTAAATCGTAAAAATTAGAATATAAAAAACTACAATTTTGTCTGTGGTTCCGTATGAGTGTGAAACTTGGTCTCTGACATTAAGGGAGAAACACAAACTGCGTGTGTTTGAGAACAGGGTGCTGAGAAGAAAATCTGGACCGAAGATGGATGAAGTGACAGAAGACTGGAGACAACTCATAATGAGGAGTTTCATAAATTGTACTCCTCGCCAGGTACAACTAGAATGATCAAGTCAAGGAGGATAAGGTAGGGAGGGCATGTAGCAAGAATGGAGTGAATAGGAAAGAATATAGGATATTGGTGGGAAAGGCAGGAGGAAAGAGACCACTGTGAAATCCAAGACGTAGGTAGGTGGACAATATTAAAATGGACCTTAGTGAAATAAAATGGGTTTGAATGGACTGGATTGATCTGACTGAGAACAGAGACCAGTGAAGAGATCTTGTGAATACAGTAATGAACTTTCGGGTTCCATAATATGCTGGGGGGTACTTGAGTAGCTGCACAACTGGCGGCTTCTCAAGAAGGGCTCAGCTCCATAAAGCTAAATTAGATATATGCGTGTATCCACACACATACCACCCGCTTTGCCAGACTAAAACTCTGCATTCTGCCCACAGAGTGTATCTGTGTGTTCCGTGTGGTTCTCACAATAAACAGCGACTGTTTCCCTAAACAGCATTAACCGGTTGGGCTCTGTAGCGGAGACGTAATGTTTCCTGTGAGGTACGAACTGATTAAACTAAAACTGTGCATTACCTGACGTCATGGAATGGTTTCAACTTTGTCAGCATGGGCTCTTATGAATACCATTTCGCACAGGTGCAGAATAACGCCGTTTTCTTGCCAGTTAATACGGGCAACACTCCCCACTCAATTAATATGATTTACCTACAATGCAGTTAGTTACCTGTTGTAATTTGACCCAAACTAAAGCAAATTCTTATAACCACAGAGAAACTAAAATCTTGTTTGTAACAATTAGTTTCATTAAGGGCCGAGTAATGATGTTCCCTGGACTAAATTAATTTTAATTAATGAAATGGCTTACCTAGACAGCATAAAACGAGGCATTTGTAATCCGTTCTTCCTGTCTGAAGGTTATCCTGTTATCTGTTTGTCAGGAAAAATAATTTGTTCATTACAGCGAGATAACTGAATTAAGGTACTCGATGTGTAACATGAAATGGGAGGTCTACCGCAAAGCCACAGTGGGAGATACAACTAGCGACATCTGTTAGCGGTTCTCCGACGTAACGGAATTTCCTGTTGCAGGCGATGAACAGCACCAACATCAAATTCATGTCACACTGCAATATAACGTATCTGTACTATTAAAATTAATGAATGCACGCTTACTGTCTTTTTAAAGTGACACCGTTTAGCCCGGTAAAAGATCGTTATATCGGAATGGTATACTGCCTGCATATTCAGGGTCGATGAGTAATCCAAGCAAGGAACCCATAAGAATCTACTTGCTGCCCACGTTTTGCGGGAAGAAAGTTCGTTGTTTCGAAACGCCGGTGAAAATTCTCCCGGGCTACACGGCGTCACATTCCAGGTGACAGTACTGTTCATTGTTACCGTGGTAGAAACCTCAAATCCATCAACGGTATACAATATGTCAGTCAATTTGAATGCCCCACAGATGTAGAAAAGATCTGTGCCAGTGTTGCCAATCGAACCGTGATTACCCCATCGTCCAACCCATTTTCCTGCCATTATATCAACTGAATAATTCCGGCTCCTCGTTAGATAAGGCGCATAAATATAAATGGATCCACCAGAGACTGAAATTATACCCGCATCCACTTTGGAAATTAAAATGATGATGCAACCTCAAAGATGTGTACCGAGTCATGTTACCACCATTTCCGCCAAATAGCGTCATGAAAAATCAGAGGTTTCGGCCGCAATTTCGGCACATAATTGTTATGATCTCGGTCACAAAGAGCTATGAATTTCGCTCTTCTCTTTCATTACGGCGCATGAAGTAAGGGTCGAGAGGTGCCGTAAACATCCATCCACACCTTCAGTCGCGGCAAAGTACTTCAGACGTCATACTATCGACAGCATCTAAAATTATATATCAATTATCTCATAAAACGGTAATTTTGTGGGGGGTTCCTGTTAGATGGCGAGAAAATAATAACCACGAAACTTCACTGCATATAGGGACGACCAAGAAGTGACTTCAGAAAACCATTGGTAATTCTGTGCGATATTTTTGCCGTAAATTTTGTTTGTAAAACTTGAAGGGAAGAAATCGCTTTAGAAACGTAGCTGCAAATGAGAACAGAATATTTTCTTTTTGTGTATTATTTCTGTGGTCATCTTTTGGTCTAGTGACCAGAGTTCCTGGCTACAGATCAATAGGTCCGGGCTCGATTCCCGGCGCTAACAGATTTTCTAA